AAATATATGAAATGTTGGTTATGATTTAAATAAATGCTCATGGTAAGTCAAAATGACATGACAGTAAGTTAAAATTTTGACTTTCTATTTCAAGATTTTGACTTAACATGAGCAAGTTTTTGTCTTAACTAACTTTCATCCATACCTTTGCATTTACCTCATTCCACTCTCAGTCTTTCTCTTTTTACACAGACGTGGATAAATGCTGAGTTTGTGCACGGCTGTTACATGTCTCTGTCATCTGCCCATTCCAGTTTTTTGGGATTGGAAATTGGTCCCCGTTTCTTCAAATATACACACGACCCCATCATATTTCCTGTCACGGGGCTCATGCTGCAGTGCACACACATCGCTGACTGACTTTAATATAGACCACACTCCGTGGGGATATATTGAGATTTTATTTTTTTCAGAGAGGGGAACGGGACCGTTAGCGTGCATGTGTGCTATAACTGAATTAAATGACTAAGTGTGCCAGGAAAAGCAAACTACTCCCTGAGGGGTTATTTTGGTGGAAGGCAGCTGTTTACAGACGGGAGAAGATTTTGCTATGAGCCACATCACACTTACACCAGCAGCTACATTCTGGGAAACATTTACCCAGTGTTCTTCTGGATTAAAGCATCAGCACTGCAAAACATTTTAGCAAGCCTGTAAAAACTGACGGTAAGAAAATGTAAAACTGTACATAAAACGGTAAAACCACGTTAAACCTATGTTGATGGACTAAAATAAATTCTTTTGCACCTTCACATGTTTCTGTTTTTGAAAAAAAGGTGAAACTTTAAGACTGAAAAATAGGAATAACTGCATGGTCATCATAGATATTCCATGTAAAGTTTGGGTTTCCTATTCTAAGGAATTAATGCTTAACAGGAACCACACTGCAGGAAAGCACATTAACAATCATGACACTGCAAATTTTGTTCCAAGATCTTATTTACCCATGATACTGGTTCTTTTTATTCCTATGTTTAAATTAGTGTTGAAACTAAATACTCACCCTGTTTCACACTCTTTTAAAATCTCTTAGACACACACACACACACACACACACACACACACATATACAAACGTTTTACTTAAGTTAGTCTTACATTTATCCAATGGCTTACTTCACAAACAGCTCTAGAGTCTGCAACATTAAATGGTGATACTATAAATGCATCACTCAGAAAAAGGGGCCACTCTGCATCATGACCACTTTACCTTTAACGTTTTTCAGTACTTTTGGCAATTTAATTAAAATTATTATCACGGTTTTTTTTTCACTTGCTGTATTGCTACTTTACCAAACAATCTGAATCTTTAATTCCTAAATGCACTGTCTGTGCGCCTGCACATTTCCACGTAAGAAAACAAACAGCACAAAGCAGGCTACGTCCGATGAAAGCCAGCGGTGCAGTTATAAAACCAGACGACCAGATGATCAGATGTATTTGATATTCATGCTGAACACTGCTGTCGGCTGCAGAGACTGACCAGGCCTGTTTTGCTTTAAATCAAACGCGATCTGTCAGAAATCATACACACAAACGGACAATCGATAAACAATGGAGGGTGGAGAACATGTGCTCATTGCTCAGATCTTTTGTGACCTCTTGTGTTGACATCCACTCTAAAACCTGATCCTTCATCCGCAGCGACATTGCCACATTTGAGCGATTTCCATTTCTTTTTCCAGCCGGACAACCTATCGGATACATTAAGAGCTTGATTGTTGGTGGCTCTGTTGTTTTTATTCATCATTATAATAGTATTTTTTCTGCTGATCTTATAAAATAAAAGCCCTTCTTTTGCCACACATGCTCTGTTATTATTATTGCTGTTATATAATTAGTTGTGTTGAATTCTTTTAAAAATATGAAATTCATATTTTTTTATTTTTGTGATCCTTGAAAGAAACATTTTACTTTAATGCGTTTCAATTCACACAAATCTTTCAATTAAGTCTAGTCAATACATTTGGCCCCCAAAAAAGAGAAACACTACAACAGTAGGGCTAAATCTAAATCTAAATGATATGTCTACAGGGGCTATTATTTGATGTCTAATGATAAACCCCGTGATGTTAATTCAAATTGCACAGACTCTGTAAATTCAATCACGTTTTATTACAAACATATTAAAAATTGTATAATATCAGATATTAAAAAACATTTGCCTAAAGAAAACAAATTGCTGAATGTTCACAACCTTTGACTCCATTGAAAATGGTAGTAATTATTTTATTTACATGTACCATGGGTTTATTCTCAGGCTGAGAGGAAGGAGTTTCAGTTTTCCGGGCACCGTTCAATTAAATTGAATTAGACGAAACTTTTATGATCCCAGTGGGGAAACTAGACAAGTGAGAAACCGGGTATCCGGGTATCATTCCGTGCAGCGAGACGTGAGGCATGAACGAGGAGTTTGGAGCAAAAGACGGGACCGCAGCGCAGCGTCCCGGCTCCAAATGTTCAAAGGTTAGACATGAGGGGAAACTCTTGGAGAGGAGCGAGGACAGCGCAGGTATGATGCTGCTCACAGGTGGAATACTGCAGCTAGTGTGGGAGCTTAAACGACTTCTTATGCCCAGGTCGTGATATAAATCGGGAGCCCGGAGACAAGAACCCAACCTGTGCGCTCCGAGCAGAGGAAACACGGGCATCAGTCTGCGCTCCTGCGCCCTGGAGTCCTTCAGCGCCCCCAAAAAGAAATGCTGCCTCTTGAAGCGTTTCCTCCGCCGGAGAAAGCTTCCGTTTTCAAACATATCGGCCGACATGGGATCCAGGGTCCAGTAATTCCCCTTTCCAGGATTCCCAGGTTCGCGGGGCATTTTGACAAAGCAGTCGTTTAAAGACAAGTTGTGGCGGATTGAGTTTTGCCACGCAGGGAATTTCTCCCGATAATACGCAAAGCGCTGGCTGATAAAATCACATATCTCACTGAGGGTGAGTCTCTTTTTGGGGCTTTGGAGGATGGCCATGGTGATGAGAGCGATGTAAGAGTACGGGGGCTTCACCGAGGCGGCTCTCTCGCCCGGACCGTCCTGTAACCGGACCGTGAAGCCTCCCTCAACCCGGTGCTCGGGAGTGTCAGCAGTATCCTTAAACACGGAGAAATCTGTGGTCTTCGCATCTTCATCACAGTCTGTTTGTCCCTCCACGTCAATGTCCACCTCGTCCATGCTGTCCAAGGTCATGGTCCAGAGCGGTCCGGTGACACTGCGGCCCCAGCAGGCGAGATTAGCGCCCGCCTGGGACAAAACGGGCGCAGACCCCCTTCTCCCCTTTCATTCACAAAAAAGTTGCGCATCTCACTGCATCCTTGACTTTTTAGCGTCCCACTCTAAACTTTCTCCTCCTCCTCCTCCTCCTCCTCCTGCAAAGAGTCTGTCATCAGCCAAATAACAGATGCAAACCTGAAGTAATAAGAGCTGGATGAGAGGTTCAGATTACGAATGACAGTCTGATAGTGAATATTAATTGATGAGGTAGTTATCCATTCATTTCATCACCTGAAGTATAATGCTGTTAGATGAAATATATTGTATACACCTGTAGTCACATGATTGGGTCTAGGTTAGTGTTTCAGACTGGTACCTGTACTTTATATATAACAAGGGCTAATACAGCCGCATTAATGCCAATTCTCACTATTTCAAATTAATTTACTCTTTCATATTTTATATTTATGTTTTTTTATTTATTAATATGTTTTATTGTAGGCTTATTGTTTACTGGCTCAAAAAAGTTTCCCAGTGTGTACTGCCTATTGGTGAAAGTATTTAGCCTAGGTTTATGTACTTAGGTAGGCTGTAAATACCAATCTTGTTTATTAAGTCCTGCGTTCAAAGTCCAGTGTGTAACATTCAGGATCTATTGGCAGGAATGGAATATAATATTCACAGGTA